TATACTCGTCGCGGGTCTCATGGTCGTGTGCTAGTCGAAGACATCTATATAGCAAATATTAGCACGTCGTCAATACGCAATTAGGTTTGCAAACCCACAGTCGCGATAGATCTTTGTCCCGCTTGCCCAGCTTACTCATGAACGCGATGTAGAGACGAAGTTCAGCTGCGCTCAAGCGAAGACCTTTTTCATGATACGCCCTGCAGATCCTCCGCTCCGATGCATCCATCACGGCTTTTGCAGGCTTGCACCCTTCGCAATTGCAGTCGAAGCCCCAACGCGCCATTAGAGCCTGTTGGCGAGCGGCGCTATCCTCTTTCCAGAGTTTCGGGATGTAGTCGATTACGATCGGGCTACCGGCGGGTATCTCGCGTGTAGCAACTAGTCGAGCTTGGCCTGGGTGGAGCGTTTCATCGGGAGCGAAATCGTTGATCATGACCGTTGCATTCGGGATGCAGGAGCGATAAGCTGCGCAGATGAAACGGTAGATGATGATGTGAGTGTTGTTCACGTTTCGAAAGCCAAAATGGAATCCGTTGTGTCGAAATGCATCCACGACATACTCTAGCTTTGACGCCTTGCGTTTGGTAGTGTAGAAGGTGTTGAAGGCTCCTTGGTCGAAAAGTCCGAGTTTATTGAATGCTTTCCACAACATTGACGTGCTGTATTCGAGCTGTTCTTGGTAGAAAGCACGGCCTCTTTGTCCCAAGTACTGTATTTCTTGCCTGTGTCGCACATGACCAGCGGATCTTCTGTGAGGATGAGAGCACCCTTTTCAAACCTTTGCTGTGCTACAAGGCCTTCACCCTTGACGACGTTTACCCCAGTGACTGGTGGCGGAGGCGGGACTGCTGCCATAACTATCCTGGAGTCGGTAGCCTTAATTGATGTGGGCAATATGAGGAATTTGTGAGGAAAAGTCAGGTCAACGTTTTATCCTGCCAGCAGCAAGAGTTTGCTAGTTTGGAGGCACAAACAGAACTTGGCAATGAGAAAGAACCATTGACCTACTCATTGTATCGAAAGGAACACAACGATTCGACATATAGCAAAATGGTATATACACTACATAGACGGAATACAGGAACGAGCACGCTATGTTAGCGGATAAGGGCCTATGCCGGACTTGTTGTACTCGACGCGCGACCTGTCGTCGCGCTGATGACACTCTAAGAACAACTCACTCAGCTGTGGATTAAGATCTCGAGAGTAGAAATTCTTCTCAACCAACGAACCAGCATAAGCGGATGACGCTGCCTTCAAGTAATCCTGCTTACCGAAGTGGAGTCGAGCGAGCTCTAGACAACTGTGTTTCAATACTGTTAGCAACACTGACATGAAAGCTGAATGGCCCAACTTACGCGAGAGACAATTTGTCGTCCCATATACCCAGCGAAACAAGGGTTTTGATGTAGGTCTCTATGTGCATGATACTGCTAGTCTTCTGTTCCTCAGTCACTGCAGCTGCCATAGCACCGATTGCCGCGTGGTAGGTGGCAACCAGATTACGGGCAGACGTATCCATAGGTATGAAAGGGTGCGTACACCCAACGCATGTACAATTGAATTCCCAATGGTTGCTCAAAGCTGCCACCCTTGTCGCGTGGTGATCCATCCAATTATTAGGCATGTAGTTCACGAAAACCTCCTCTCCTGCTGGGATTGCTCTGGTTGCTATCAGTCTGGCCTGGCCTTCTGGAAACTCGGTGCGCCTTGGCCAGATCTCAAGAGCAGCGTTCGGAACACAGGAATGGTTGATACGGCTGAACATCTCATATACCACGATGTGTATCCTGCGAGGGTTGTTGACACGATCGAAGTCGTACGCGTTGTGTTCAAAACGACGAACGATTCGGTCCCGTGTGTTGCTAAGCCCTGGTTGTGGGCCCAGTACACGAAATACTTCTCGCTGCGCTGGTTCGAGCTGGGTCACGGCTTCTTGCAATACAGAGCTCGGTGCTGCTCGCTGAGCGGCAAAAAAAGTGTTGGCAGTACCTGGTAGCAACCATTGGGTTTGTGGATAGTCGGTGTTGCAAAAGACCAAGGCAGTTTCCGTGTGTATGAGGTCGCCTCGCTCGATGGGACGGGCTGCCATCATACCGAGGCCCCCAAGCTGGCTGTTCCCGATCTGAAAGTTCATCGCAAGTTTTGGTCAGGTACTGTTCGCTTCTGGCTGTACCGCTACTGTCTGTACATGAACACTGCATTATATGTGCTGAGAACCGAGAAAATTTCATTGTTAGCAAGCAACTTGGTGTTGGGCTCCATGCAAGACATGTGAGTGAGTTCAAGACAAATGTTCGAGAGCGAACGGAGTGATGATACCTAGACAACTCATCCAGTTTGCTCGACACCGCAGCCGCAGTGGCCGTGCAAGCACTATAGTATTTTGTGAGAAGAGTCCAGATCTAACGATCCGCGGGGTCATTTTGTATATCAGAGTCAGTTGTGTGATAGCGGTCTCAGGCCCCGCGGTGGTGCTGCGGGCTCAGAAAAGAAGCACGTCATGCACGCGTCCTCACATCGCTTGCTCGCCCGCTTGTACCTGCCAAGCCATCAGGGGCGCCATGTGGGGTATCTCCACTCATGCGCGCCTCCAACGCTCACTAGTATCCATTCACAAAGCCATCCATCGACATCACCCAAAAAAGCAAGCCCCCATCGCGCGCATCAGCTGCTCACTTTCTGCCCTCTAGCCTGCCCAAGTCCAATCCATAGATTCACCGCGCCAGTCTCGCGGCAATAGGACTAGGCGCCACTAACTTTCGGGCTCGCAGCCATGTAGACACGAAAACACGAGCCCCCATCCGAAACACGTCTAGCCCGACGGAGATGACCAGACCTCTGGGCACGCTGACTGGGCGGCCATCATTGGGCGGGTTGCGGGAGAGTATTGATATGCTTGTTCTTTACGAGATCCTTCTCTTTAGGGGCGGAGGGCCAGAACAGGCTGACGGGGGCAGGGTAGAATGAATGGGGATTAAAAGTCCCTTGTGAACCAGTTTTCTGGTCCTACGTGATGCGCGCGCGTGCTGGGCTTCACTTTCCATCGCGGTCGTAGTCGTCGGTCGCTCCTTACTTTTGACTCTTTCGCTCTTTCCTAATACATTTTATTATCTTCGTCACTACACGTTCGAGGTTCCGCCAGCATCACTATTAAGTTTCACGACTGCCGACTGCCGTTGCTAGTGCATCACAACGCGACAAGTTGGGTAGCAAGAAAGAAAGTATGAAGGTGGTCGTTGCCTTGTTTGGCCTGGTGGTCGCCGCGCTTGCGCAAGATGCCTCAACCTCAAGCTGTAAGTTTGGTCGACGGCAATAGTTTTGCATGTAGTATGCCTGGAATCTCAACTCTAATCAAGCATCCGATGTAGATACCGGCCCAATGTTCGACCCGGACACGGCGCCTTTCTTTGGCCCTAGCACCATCGTCTATCCCTCCGTCACCGAGTCCGCTCCGGTACTTTCAAACTTACCGACTCTCACACCTTCCGGCAGCACAGTCATGATCTCCATGTCTAGCAGCGCTATGGCCAACTCGACGCTCTCGACTTCAACGCTGTCGCGCAACTCTACAACCTCGCATACCTTGACGCATTCGTCCACACACTCGTCTACATCGGTCAGGACTTCGCGCACGCCGACTCCTACAGCGGATGAGACTTCGACAAGTGCGTCGGTCCCGGCCGAGACGGGTGCAGGTGTTGCGAACTACCCTGAGACATTTGGAGCTATTGTGGGAGGTCTTTTAGCTGGATTAGCGATGCTGTAGCAGGTTTTAATATCTTTTTAGTAGAGAACAGGCGACTGAAAAATATATGCAGTATGCCATGAAAGCCAGTCGCGCAGAGGTCTAGCGAAGTTGAAGACCAACATAATAGGGTATATTGTGATGTGCTCGTGGGTTGACTCGAGCTTTCCGTCAAAGTCATCTAGCATACTTTTCCCTGGTCAAACCGAACGCCCAAGAAACGCCGTCATAATGCAACTGAACTAAGCTGATCTCGCTTGTTCTTACTCCTCCATAGCTCCGACCTCTGTAACCTGCTCAGTCGCCTTGGTGTAGTAGGCCTTGAGATCGATCTTGAAGTCTGCCATGGCCACACCGAACATCTTCAGCAGCGCTGTTTGATGACTGTTCATGACCTTACCCTCCTCCGCGATAGTGTACGGCACATCCAAGATGATCTTGCCCTTGTCAAGCCTCGTTGGCATGCCCCATTTCCTGATGGTAGTCTCCATGCTGTGTGGCAGCGGCACGTCCTCCTCTTCGGGAATCTCTCCGCCTCTTGAGTGGACTACACCGGCGGGTACTGTGAAGGTCTGTGTAGCGACAACACCGGCGCGCGCAAAGTCGGTTTGCGAGTAGTTTGCAAAGTACTCAATAACCTCGCTGGGCTCGCGGTTGGTGAAAAAGAGTCCGACATTGCCGTTGAGGTGCTTGGTGAGCTCGGAGAGGTTCGAGAGGTGCTCTTCTGCTGGGCTTAGGCCAAGCGCTTTCGCCATGACTTTGGTCTTTCCGAAGAAGAATCTGCGCATTCGTTAGCCATGCGCGCATTGGATGGAAGCGCTCCCGCGGACATACCGGCTGTCAGCGAACTCCTGGCGAACTTCCTTCAGGTACGAGTTGCGCATGTTCTCTACGGCGAAGACGAAGATGTGCTCAAAGTTATCCGCCGCTTCCTGGACATTGGCAAAGAGCTTCAAAGACAGCTCCTTGCCCTTCTTGTCCGTCTTGGTAAGATGCACGACCTTCTGGCGCTTGGATTTGGGCATGGTGGCGGTATTTGGGGGGTGTTGTGGTTGGTGGTTGCGCTCAGGAAAAAGTTCGAAGTTGCGGTCGCGACTTCCAAAAAATTGAGCGGGGATTTTGACGAACCCCCGATTGGTGCAACCGCGGCTGCTCCGCTGTGGATCCAGATGTCGCTCTCGCGCTCTCCAAAGCCTACGCACTCAACCTCACCCCAGTCTGCTCGAGATGATCAATCGATAACAGAGCGATGTTGGATTTCATGGATAGCGTGCAGCATGCATTCTACGAGGCATCGGGCTGGAACGTCGACAATTCCTATGGCGCATTGAACGCGTCCGCACGAGGTACGTCACACTGGACGTCGCGTTCTGGACTGGATGCTGACTCTAGGTGGCAGCATTGCTAGACTTTGATATACCCCGTGGGCTGCGCATGCAAATATCCTCTCTCGCCGCCCCCAATTTCGCAACCTCGTACACCCTAGGCAGCGTGGGGGTAGTCGACGGCTCAGTATCCTACCTGTACTCGTCGCTGCCACTACGGAAGGACTTTAGGACGTCCCACATCGACCTCCACAACGTGATACGAGGCTACAAGCATGTGCAAGAGTTGCGGAGACCGGACGAGAAGTGGTCATGGGAAGTTTGGCATGCTGGCCGCCGGATAGACCGCAAGAGTGAGCTGGATAACACTGCCTTCCCGTACCCCCGCTGAGTCGAGACAGACACCCTGTTGTATGGGCGCATATTCCTACCACAGCAGAGGCTCGAAGCCCTGTACCTCCGCCGCCTCACTCCTACGCGACAGCTGAGGATCGCCGCCGTGAGCGACTCCAATCTCAACAACGGCGGGACGATCCTGACGCTACTGCAAAATGACTTCGGCAAATACAGCACGGAATACATGTACAGCACAGACTCGGCGTTGATGGGCGTCCGGGGTCTCTACAACTTTGGTCCAGGCCCCAGAGTTGCGCCCGCAGAACCCGTTGCTGCAGAGCAGGTGGATCCTGTGCATGGTCGCTTCAGCGCAGGCGCAGAGCTGTACTATGGCATACTCAACAAGAGCGGGGGAATCAGCACAGGGGTGAGGTTCGCCACCCTACCCAACCATGCGGGTTTCCCGTATACCATGACGCTCACGCTCAACCCGTTGATGGGAAATCTCTCTTCCACGTATGCTGTCAAGGCCGGCCCTAACTTGGCCCTGTCCTCCCGCTTCGACTTCAACTTCTACTCCTATGAAAGTGAGCTGCAGCTCGGGTGTGAACTCTGGCGTCTACGCAGCACGACCGACGTAGATTGGGCGGTCAAGAAGTTGCGTCCAGATTGGAAACGCCCAACAACTTCTGCAGATGACGATGTATCCGGCGTGCTGAAGGCTAGAGTCGATCAGGATTGGCATATCGGAGTATTGTGGGAGGGCAGAATCAAGGAGCTGCTGTTTACTCTTGGTGCGAGTCTGGACCTGAAGAAGAGAGAGCAAATGGTCCGTTCTGTGGGTGTTGAGCTGCAGTACTCCTCATGAACGATAACACGCACAGACGGCAATATCCCGATCGTTAAAAAGAATAAGTATACCGTTTGCGAAGGAAGGATGCACATCGGATCGACTGCCGAACTGACTCAACCGGCCCAGCCCAGGGTCGTCGACCACTGTACTGTTCGTCAGCGGTTGTTCTAGAAACGCGTCTCCCGCACATGGTCAGGGCATCAGGAAATGTTTCTAGAAGACGATGGCGTCAAACAGTGGGACGCAAACGAGGGCCGTGAGAGCCTTACAGTATCCATGCGAGGGCGACCATGTGTTTTCTGAACACGACATATATTGCAGGCTAGGACTCGAGTAAGTAGCGAAGTGTGCATGATGGCGTAGTCTGGTCCCGAGCGGTGTAACGCTGAAACAAAGTATGGGGATGGACGCTGCTCGTCACACTGCTTCGGTGCTGTTTGGACGTGTTTTCAATGCAGTGGCACGATTCGCAACATTCTGTTACACTTGACATTCTTGAAGGCAAACGGTCGTTGAGCATGCAGAGACGGATGAGGGACTTCCGCAAAGTTGGGGGTGCAGGTGGTCTGCAGATCCGGTCGAGGCCGCGCTCGGCGCGGGCCATGATGTTGTTGGTGGGAGTCAGTTTTCCGGGTTGGTGGTTGTTGTCACTCGCTTGCCGACGCGTCCACCATTCACACCGCCGTGCCTGGCGTAAGCCTTGCAATTAATGGTGCAGGGAAGCGATCGGTACTATAGATTGACAGCTGTAGGGCGACAAGACGGGCGACGAGCTAAGCTGAGTCGGCACTCTCAAGATCAACGAACTATTGCGGCTTGCCAAATGTGAACAATCTCGATTCCGTGGCTTTTTGACCGAGCGACGAGCGTGTCAGGATGGGAGCGATTAGACGGCACGGGCGCCGATGCTCGTCAGGATCTTTTCTCATGCTCGGCTTACCCGAGCGATCCGCACGAGGCTCGCGATCAAGTCTTCACGATACCGAAATGGGCCCTCTGCCGCACACTGTCAGCACCAAGAATGCGGGCGCGTACGGCGATGCAGGCCAGGTGCGACCGACACAGACGCGTGCCAGGAATACTTTGAACGCCCTGCCACTGCGCTTCCACGCTCACGCTCACGCTCATGCTCATAGTCACGCTCTGGTGTGCCTTGCCCGATCGTTGCCGTAGTGAGCACTCGAGGACGCAGGGCTTCTCAAACACGACAACGGTAGCGCCTCATGCTCGCGCATTGTTTGGCCTGTCGGAACACGCTAAAGCGGACCATGAGGACGACGACTTCGCGGCCTTTTTTTGATAAACGAGCACCATTCATGCGCGCTGTTCTGACAGGTATCGCGATGCGAGTCTGTTGTCGCGGCCAGCCTCGCGGCAAGGATTGCCCTATAGGCGGCGGCCTCCTGAGTCTTGGAACAGAGCCTGTCGGTCGACCCTTGCTGTCACGTCTCTAGTGGCGCGACTCCGAGGTACCTCGCAGTAGTCCCCCTGATCGGAGCTATTGCGGGCAGCGCGTGCAGGCGGGCAGAGAGCACGCCGCACGCGCACCGTCGGATGCTGGTGCTGTTGTGTCGTGGTGTAGAGCGGAGGAACATCCGGTCAGAGTGTTGCGACGAGCATGGTTTGCTTCAGAACATAAGCGTTTTGGTGCGTCACCACTGGTCTCGCGCCTCCAGGGCGGGCGTCGAGCGGTGGTGCCGTTGGGCTAAAACCGTCTCTCTGGCCAGCTAGCGCCCTGCCCAGCCTAAGCTAGCCGGCGCGCACCTTCCCCCCGGCTTCAATGCCCCTTCCCTTAATCTCCCCTTTCCCAACCACGGTCGCTCATTTACATCCAAGGCCCTGCTCCTCTATCCGGATTCCTATCGTCACCTTTGCTGTCGGTGTGGTACCTACATCTTTCTCTTTCTCTGTCGACTTCTGCGAAGTGCCGCCACTCCTTTCGGCCTTTGCCCACGTTCCTTTCTTCACAACCCTCCTTTAGGCTTTGTCTGTCCGCTCCTTAGCACCTCTTCCTTCACTCTTGTCGACTTGGACTCGCTTTCGGACGATCCATCTGCTCCCCGGCCAGCAGCTTCCTTCACCCTTCACCCTTCTCACACGCGCCTGGACGGTGTCTCGAGCTTCTCACACACGTGGATTCTTTCTCCCGTGACATTGAACTCTTACCAGCTTCGCATAGCTCCACTATCTTCACCCACCACCATTGCTTGGACCATTACTTCACGACACTTTACGAACCAAGATAGACTGAGGTGTTAGCTCGATTGCTCCCTCTATATCTCCGACCCCGCTTCGAATCGAGTCCAACTCTCGCCCTCCGATCATTCCCACCACCCAACATGCAGTCAAACGACGACGCAATGGTCTCGCCCACGCCATCTCCACCGGCGTCATCCTCGACCCCGACGCAGGGCTCTGCCCCGCGCCGACCCCCGCGCAAGAGCACCCTCACCCAGCAGCAGCGCAACCAGAAGAGACAGAGGGCCACTCAAGACCAACTGGTGACACTCGAAGTGGAGTTCAACAAGAACCCCACACCCACTGCTGCTACCCGCGAAAGAATTGCCTCGGAAATCAACATGACTGAGCGCTCAGTCCAGATCTGGTTCCAGAACAGGTAGGAAAAGCGAGCAGCATGATGCTTGTGCGCAGTACTGACATTTGCACAGACGTGCCAAGATCAAGAACATTGCCAAGAAGAGCATCGAGAACGGTGATGACTGCAATGATATCCCAGAGTCCATGCGACGATACCTTGCCCTCCAGGCCATGGAGTCTGGCAAGTCGATCGGCACTAGTTTCCTGGGACGCGCAGGCGGTATGCCATACGGAAGTGGCATGCTTCTCAACACCGACGCCAACAACTCCAAGGTTGTCATCCACCACTTTGCTTGCCGCTCCCTCAGCATCGGTAGCTGGAGACGAGTTGGACAGAGCGCCATGGACCTTGTAGTATTCTACTCGCCTGAGAAGTGCTGCATCACCTACTACATCAACAACGACTCTGCAGGATACAAGATTGAGTACCCATTCTCATACATCAAGAATATTTCTCTGGAGAATGGCGACATGACCGCAAACGCCGAGGGTGCGTCGCAACGCCCCGGAGGCCTGATTGTCGAGCTCAACCGCCCTCCGAACTTTTTCATGGACTCTTCCGGTTCGGGTGGATTTTTCCAATGCGGCGACTTTACCGAGGACCAGCAAGCATCAAACATCATGTTGCACCATTTGGGTGGTCACCCGAAGGTGCTGAGCGGTCAGTTGGCGAAACTTGTCTCACTGGAGTCGTTTCAGAACCGACACAACATGTTCGACCCAAACACATTCGCCGTCTCGGCACCGGTCTCGCCCATCAACCACCGGCCCGCGTCCCAACCAAACCACCTCCAGCACCCGCATCACATGGGCATGTTTCAGGAGACGCATCTTGCACCCCAACCCTTCCAACCGCGTGGTCACAAGCGCCAGCGAAGTCGTTCAGTGCCTGTTGCGATGGACTTTTCTATGCTTCGCAACCCGATGCCATCATTCTTGATTCAACAAGAGCCGTCGCCGTATGTTCCTAACCCTGAGATCTTCGCGCCGACGCCCCAGAGTGCAGGCCCCATTGGCCCTCACCTGAGCATCGACACTTCTGCAGGGTACGGCATGGACTACCGACAGTACCCCATGTCGGCCACTACCGCCAACTCACCTTCGGAGTACGGCACGCCTTCCTTTTTCACATCGGGACCATCAAACGACAACATCCCGGCATCCAACTATGGCCAGTACAACATTCCTCCTTATGTACATACACCAATGGGCCCGCCACCTTCTGCATCTCACCACTCACCTATGCCGGCGATGAACCACCCTGACCCTATCATTGCTAACCAGTCACCACCACTGGGTTCTTTCGGTCGTGACAACCACAATGATGTGTACTCAATGTCGCACGACAACGGCATGTCCGACGAGGCGCTGCAAATGACAGACATGTACGCCAAGCAAAATCTCAACATGCCGTTCCGGTCACCGATGATGGATGACAACGTCGACGACCTGGACATGCAGAACCTGGTGTCATTCGGCTCGTTAGACCCATCAAGCATGTCACCGGAGCATCACCAGATGCAATGAGCAGCCCGCATACTACCGTCTGTTTGTCAATTATTCTTTTGCGTGCTCTTATACCCGGTCGCGGTTGCTTTCTTACGAGGAAGCTCGATGCGTACGCCCTGCCGCTTGGAACAGTGGCAGGGCATTTGCGGCTCTTGCTCTCCATTATCGCTCATACTTAATGTGGTTGTCATCTCTCACATATTGGTCTCAAATCCTTGGATCTACAAAGCCATGGGGTTTTCCCGTCGCTTGTAGGAAGCCACCCTTCCACTACTTTCCATCACTACTCTTCGTAACGCAGGTTGAACGACCACCATACAGGGACTGGTTATTGAACACGGCGTTGCTCAGGATTGGGTAGGCTTGGAACTATACAGAGAAATGGCGGACTGGTGGAACCTGCGCTGGTGTTGGCAGACGTCAGCGGCATATGCTGGTCGTCTTTTTTCCTTTTGGATTGTTCTTTTCATTGTTCATCATCTCTTCTTTTTCTGTTGCGAGCTAGCCATTGTTTCATATGTTGCGTGCATCTCGGAATTTTCTCTTGTCGGGCTCGGCTGGCAGGTGGAGGGATTGCCATTTTAAGGAGATCTTGAGCTGCGGGGGTTGTGGTGGATTACAGAGCCGCTGCGCGTGCTTGAGTATGTAGCTTTCAATGGGGTCTCCGGTAAACAGCTGTTCTTCGAGATCAGTAAACAAATACATTACATTACTTGAACCGACCTGGGATGGTGCCAGCAATGTGCTATGCGTAGGTGTGTACAGCTGTCAGGCAGCGGGGAAGTGCCATGTTATAGCAGAGTGAAATTACGATGGACAGGTTGTCTCGTATCTGCGGTTGCGAGATGAAAGTCCATCGTAATTTACAGCGAATCCTCGCACTAGGAAGGGTTACACAGCCCATTTGACAGCGCATTAATGACAGTGGTCTCGGGCCAGCCCGTTGAACATCCACACGATGATTACAAAATCGGGTGGGCCAATCATCGGCTGGGAGGCTGTAACATGTTATTTCATGCTACACAGGCGTTGGTAAGAAGTGTAATTGTCGCGTGGTGACTGCTGCGCAACAGCGGCACGACGTCTTCAAATATGTGGCCGCATGTGCTTATGTGCTAGTCGATGGTGTAGGCGAGGCTGGAAAAGGAAATAGCACTGCAATAAGATCGTCGACTATGCGTGGTGGTGTGAGTGCCGCAACGCTTACAGCATGCCAAGCGGTGGGCATCAGTGGGCGAGCACGTCGTGGCTGACAGCAGACAGCAGACAGTAACAGCCATGCGTGGATGACAGAGCATGCGGTGATTATGTCAGGCTTGTCAGACCGAACGTTGCTCAAGAGCTGGATTAAGAAATTTGATGTAGTCGATGACGTGCAGCGAGGCCCGTTGGCATCGCAGGCGCGCAGGCACATCGCAGACAAGCTCTGGGCCCGCGCGATTATGGCCCGAGTCGCAAGGCTTTTCAGGCTCGGACGAGGTACGGGTCTAGTCTGGCAAGGCTTGCGATGCTCGGCAGGCGAGGAGGGCGATTTGAGGGCGAAGTGGCAGCGATCGGCATCGAGTTCCCCTGACGTTGTGCCCCAAGCGGCGTGGTGCCGAACGGGACAATGGGGCTGCTCATTTCACGTTTCGTCGGGCCAACCAGCTCGCCGCTGCTTTTCGACTGCACCACCCCTTGCCTCGACGCTGATAAGTGAAGTGCCAGCTTTCTTCTCTCGCTCCACACCCACATCTTGTCGCTCATTACTTGCCCGTTGGTGTTGATCGTGCCAGGACTTTCACGGCATCTCTACGTCACGACCGGCGGCGCAGAAGCTTGGTGGTTCGCAGCAAACGGCCGCGCCACTCAGGAACACGAAAAGCGTTGCGACAGCCCCTTCACGTATCAGTCAAGCCTCTGTTTCTTGCACCGCTCGCAGTACGTAGGTCCATTTCCTCCAAGCGTCCGCGGTCTCCCGCTGCACCTGCCCAATCCCAGCCTTCAATCTCTTTCCCAGCTTTCGTCTATCTCCTGCACGCTATCCGGCACTGCCGCTCCCCGGCTTTGTCCACGCTCCGGGTGCATGAGCGCGTCAGTACTACTAAGACTGCCCTTCATCCACCACTGTCCCAGCCGCTGCTCGCCGACATCCTCACGCAGCGCCGCCAATTCAATTCTTCCTCGAGTCGCCTGCTGATCCCTTTCCCGTCTAGCTCCTCCCGCAACCTCCTGCATTCTTCACCGCCAGCTCCAACGTGGGACGATACTCGAGCCTACACCTCCCTGCGTCTGCCCTGCCTACTCTAATACCGCCGTCCGAGAGCAATTGCTGCAATGCCTGTCCGAAGCATCAACCCGTTCGCATCCACCGCCCCTGCTCCCCCCCTCGATCCCTCCGCCGAGAAGCGCGAGCCAGCGCGTCGACAATCCTTCGCAAAGGGCAACAAGTTCACATCCCTCTTCGGTGGCTCCCCCAAGTCCCGGACCGACGCCGCTCTCCTGCGTGAGGCATTCGTTGCCCAGCAACAGGCGCTACTCAACAACCCCTCGCCGTCGCAAATCTCTCTCCCGACCATCAATCTGACCACCGCGACCGGCGAGAAGATGCCCACGGAGCCCAAGACCCTCTTCCAGCCGCCTTCGCCAGAGGAGCAGCGCCGCCTCGCACGAGCACACGCCCAATTCGGTCCCCTTGGCTCCCAGAAGCACCGCTACCTCAGCAAGTTCGAGGGCGAGTTCGGCGACCCCATTGAGGACGAGCCGCCATATTATTTCCTTTTCACCACATACATCAGCTACTTAATCCTAATAGTATTCGGACATGTTCGCGACTTCTTCGGCAAGCGCTTCAGGAAGCAACACTACAGCCATCTGCAGGAGAAGGACGGATATGCACCCCTCAACAGCGACTTTGACAACTTCTACACGAGGCGGCTGAAGATGCGCATTAACGACTGCTTCTCGCGACCGACGACTGGTGTCCCTGGACGTTTCATCACCGTGCTTGACCGCAAGTCAGACGACGGCAACAACACCTTCAAGATGCTCGGCACCACCACAGAAACCCTCAACATGAGCTCCTACAACTACCTCGGATTTGCTCAATCGGAAGGTCCCTGTGCAGACGCCGCCGAAGCTACCATCAGGAAATACGGAATCTCAATGGCCAGTCCCCGATCAGACAGCGGTACTTCAGACCTCACTGTCGAGGTTGAAGACCTCATCGCCAAGTTCGTTGGCAAGCCAGCTTCAATGGTCTTCTCTATGGGTTTCGTTACGAACGCTACCACATTCCCCACCATTGTTGGAAAGGGCTGCCTCATGATCTCCGACGAACTCAACCACTCTTCCATCCGATTCGGCGCTCGTCTCTCCGGCGCCATGGTTACAATGTTCAAGCATAATGACATGCGCGATCTCGAGCGCAAGCTCCGTGAAGCCATCTCGCAAGGTCAGCCCCGCACCCACCGCCCCTGGAAGAAGATCTTGGTCGCCGTTGAGGGTCTCTACTCCATGGAGGGCACCATGTGCAATCTCCCCGGTATCATCAGCCTGAAGCACAAGTACAAGTTCAACCTCTTCGTCGACGAAGCCCACTCTGTCGGTGGTGTCGGCCCTCGCGGACGTGGTGTATGCGACTACTTTGGCATCGACCCCTCGGAAGTTGACATCCTCATGGGTACATTGACGAAGTCCTTTGGCGCAAACGGTGGTTACATCGCTGCTGAGAAGCCCATCATCGACAAGCTCCGCACCTCCAACGCCGCCATGCTCTTCGCCGAGTCACCCGCACCACCCGTCCTCATGCAAATCTCCTCCGCCCTCCGTATCATTGACGGTTCCATTGTCCCCGGCCAAGGTGAAGAGCGCCTCCAGCGTCTCTGCTTCAACTCACGCTACCTCCGTCTCGGTTTGAAGCGCCTCGGCTTCATCGTCTACGGCCACGACGACTCCCCCATCATCCCCGTCATGTTGTACAACCCCGCCAAGATGCCCGCCTTCTCCCACGAGATGCTCAAGCGCAAGATCTCCGTCGTTGTCGTCGGTTACCCAGCCACCCCCCTCGTCTCATCACGAGCCCGCTTCTGCGTCAGCGCCGCGCACACCAAGGACGATCTCGACCGTATGCTCACGGCTTGCGACCAAGTTGGCGAGCTCCTCCAACTCAAGTTTAGCAGTGGTGTAGCTGGCGGTGCGGAACCTGAGGACTTGCTTGAGATGAGCAAGGCCGCGGATGATAACAAGGAGACGATGCCCAAGCCCCCCAGGTGGAGGATCGAGGATGTGCTCAAGAGGACTGTTGATGATGTTCAAGGGACGCTGCGGTAAAAAGAATTACAAGTTCATATATGTCCTACGCAGCATCTTTCCTTGTATCATCTTCTCATCAACGCTTTTTGTCATCCCGACCACACTTATTGGTTTCACGACGTTATTCAGCAAACTTTTGGAGCATTTTGGCGTCCGTTCTCGTGCGCGTTGGCCTCGTCGTGGCGCGTGTTTGCTTGCATGTATCATAACTCTTTCTCGATTCAATACCCTCGCTGTTGGCTTTTTTACACTATTAAACTTTTTTTTACGTCTGCATGGCATTGCCAGTTTTTGTCTGGAGATGTGATGATGATTTGCATTTGATGGATATGATTGTTCGGCGTGTTTTCTTGTTTATGTTTGTGATTTGTGAATATGCATTTTGACATCGTGGTGACTAAGTGGTTGGAGTGGGTTGTAGTCGGTAATAGTAATGTGGTGGCTGGGTGATTGGGAAGGTGGAGCATAGAGGGTTGATGATAGATATGCATGTAGATTAGATGGTCTATAGGTACGTGATGTATAATGGAGGGCGGTATAAGAGATAGCAGCGCGGGGATAGTAAAAGAGAATAATTGTCATGATGAGCACACCTCTTTCCTCAGTTTGAACGTGGCATACTAGGCTTTTGCACACGACTATGCCTTTTGTTTTCTTGAGATGTGAAAAGTTCGATGTACCGATATGTCTACGTTGCCTCGTCTGCTCTTCTTCTGTATTTGCTTGGTTAAATGTTGGGTGTAAGACGATGTATGTAAGGTGGAAGGCAGAGAAAAGCAGTTCGTGATGTAAAACAAGGAGGGTTGCGTGAGAAGCCGGAGGAAATACATGATGAGGCTGTTTGACGGACAGAAGATAATCTTAGTTGGGTTTGGTTATGTTGGCTATGAGGGTTGTGGGGACGACTTGAATTGGCAGTTGGTAGAGAAATGGGATGTCACGTCGGTAATGTAGTAGAATGCATATATAGGAGGCGAAATAATAAGTCCAAGTCAGTCAGAAGATTTCCCCATGACCAATGCTACTCTAAAGTAAAGTCACACTCGAAGATCACGGCATCACCAAATTGTCAAACAGGCTTCCAGGTATCATAACTGCGATTCAACAATCAAACTATATACAACTCAAAAGTTCTCATAAAACCCCTCGTAACATTCATACCACATCATCCAATCCATCATCCATCGCTAGGCAAAAGCAAACTCACATCCAAGCGTTTAACCGCGGGTAAGAGTAAGACCGTAAGCAGACAGAATCTCGTTGACAGGCTGGAAGTAAGTGACACCTCCGCTGGAGCAGTCACCAGAGCCACCGGAAGTGACACCCTGGGCCTGGGCACCGCTGTACCAGGAACCGCCAGAGTCACCGGGCTCAGCGCAGACGTTAGTCTGAGTAAGGCCAGTAACACGGCCCTCAGCGTAGGAGACGGTGGCGCCGAGAGCGCGGATAGTACCGCAGAAGACACCGGTGGTGGAACCGGAGCGGCAGACGCTGCCGCCGGTGGCGGTGGCGGTGCTGCCGGAGACGGGGAGGGTGCTGCCGGCGTAGTTGTTGATGCGGCCCTGGTACGTGTTGCCAGAGGTGCCGCGGATGTACGAGTAGTCGTTGCCGGGGAAGCTGGAGCCAGCGAAAGTACCGATGGTGGCACCGGCGCTGGTGGAGGCAGTGTTGCCAGTGGTACCGCAGTGGCCGGCGGAGACGAATCCACCGGTGACGGAGAAACCGACGGAGCAGCGGCCGGCACGGTTGATGTAGTAGGCGTCACCACCACGGATGGTAGCGAAGGTGGTGGGCATGGCCGCAACGGTCTTGACCTCATACTCGGAGTCGGCGAGACCAACCTTCTTGGCGAGGTCGGCAGCGGAGTCGGTACTGTCGGCGAGAGCCTCGAAGACGAGCTTGTTGGAGGCAACGTCGACGTAGTAGGCGGCGATGCCAGACTCGGAGCGCTTGGCGGACTCAATGTCCATGTTGTCAAGAGCAGCCTTGGCCGCCTCAAGCTTGGAGAGAGGGACGGAGACGAGGAGGGGCTTAGCACCGGCGGCCTCGACCTCAGAGGCGGAGGCCTCGTCGGTGACGGCAACGGTGAGGTCACCGTCAACGAGGTAGGCACCACCGAAGGAGGCTCCGGTGGAGGTACGGAGCTGCTCGATGACATCGGTGGCCTTGAGCTCGCGGGCAACACGGGCGTGGGCCTGCTCGGCATCAAGTCCAAGGTCGCGCTTCATGGCAGCGAGGATGTCGGGGTGCAGGCTGTTGGCAGCAGTGGTAGGGGCACCGTAGACGATGGGCAGGAAGACTGCCACGGCAGCGAGGAAGTTGGTGAGAACCATGGTGAAGATACCGAACGTTTGATGTTGTAGAGGCGAGAGCGAAGGTAGTAGAGTGAGTGACACTGATGAGAGTGATGATTTGAAAACGACGGGAATACCCTCCTATACTTATACTTCTTCGTCCACCTCTGGCGTCGTGACTTGCATCATGTCTTCGTCCGTTGCTGTGCAAGATAGAGCCCTAGCTCGCATACACGGCTACGAACTGCCTCCTTCCTCATCCGCTACGTGGTGTGGTCCCACGTGCTTGCAGTATCAGAAAGGTAGTCTCCAAAAGGCACCTCACAAGAGCTGTAAATTGGATCGACCGCTAACCAGAATATCTCCTTCCTCTTCCGCTGCAAGGCATGTTTACCCCGGGGTGCTACGTTTCAAGAGTATCGGAAAGGTAAACCCCATAGGGCACCTCACAAGACATTGCCCCCACGGTGTTACACCCAAACAGGCACCTGACAAGAGATTCGCCCCTGGAGGCCATCGAGCTATCGATGTAGCAGCTCTTAACACCAAAGTTAACGGTCTGCAAGCACCCCTACGCTATCCAGGTACGCGAATCCGTTCAGGAAGGAGGTTGAGATACGACAGAGATCCGGTAGGGGTAGATAAGCGAGTTGGTCGGATAATGTGCCAGCCTTAGGGAATAACCCCGCACGGGCATATCCGTTCATGCAGAAGCCATACACACCTCTTTACCATACCTTCCTGATTCATCATGTGTCCCGCTGCCAAGAGCCAAGACCTTTATCTTCTAATATCGAGGGGCGCTTAGCAGATAGGAGCTTTTGCGATGGCTCTCTTTATTCGCCGACTTTCTTGTAGTGCCGGTAGTTTGGCGTTCTACCCTCTTGGCGAGCTCGGGAATTGCAAGGGCATAGTCCACCTATTCTGGTGTTTGCTCGTAGTCCAGGTAAATGGCCAGTAGATATGCGTGCTAATCGTGGTGATCGTCACTGGCAGCTCCCCAGGGTTGAACTTGTAAGCGTAGCGACAGTGTCTAGACTCGTAGGAAATCCCTATGAGTCAGGGAACTTTGCCGGTTCGTCGCTGATCAAGAAGGGTCCAGCTGCTTCTAAGTGATCAATCCTCGTGGTCTTTACCATTGGTAAATACGCGGTGGTAGAAGTTCAGTTAGCTCCAGCGCCGTTCGTCGAATACTAATCAACCTAGAATCCTGCTGCAGGAGGACCACAACTTCCTGCACACATGTGCTGGCGCTGTTCGGTCTACTGTATGGACGTTGTTTTTCCGCGTTACTAGTATCCGCAGCAGTTGTGAAGGATCAGAAGGGAGGGACGCTCCGAGCGGGTCCTACACCCTCCTCCTGCCGGTACTCGTATTAGAGTGCAAGCTTCCAATCAGCGCGAGGCGTTGGCAAGTATTCGTCAATGCGACCTCGGAAAACTAGATGCATGGGGGATAGCATACAGATTGCCACAACCGCTCGTAGCGTCCTCATGCCCAGCCGTTTGCCGTGCCTGAACCAAGGACGGCTGGTGCCTGGCTGCAAGCGTGGTGGCTGGAGACGTGACCACGTATTGCACCATCGTTCTACAAGCCGAGGTAAATTCGCTGCGCACGCGGCTATGATGAAGTCAACGGCGCCTGCACCATGTTCGAAGTTGAGTCGAGTGGCAAGAAGTTATGCTGTTGTATCCGCATTTGTGAAGTGGCTGATGAGACGTGATGTGTGAGTACCTGCGGGTGCAGAGGTGATGGACGGAGGGGCAGACGTGGCCGACGCCGGCGAACATCATTTCCACTAGCGCAACGCTAAAACGCACGACGTTCCAGACAGGAAGGAGCTATACGTTGATGTCATGCGGACATGAGACAGACGCACCTCACAAAAGAAAAAGCATATACCTGGAGTGTAGACTACATCACGATGGAAGCATGCAAAGTAGGTAAGTTGACGTCGATGTAGGCTCCAGAGTTTTCAGTTTTCCTAGGTTAACGTGGACGGGTTCTGAGTGATATCGCATAGCTACATTGCACCCGCCCATTCTATAAGGTACAACTCCGGCTCGCAACGCCACCCTGAAGACATCGCAAGTCCCTACAATGCACAGGCAAAATCGTCCCAAAGCGCCGCTTTCCTCTTGTCGTCGGCCGCCAAGTCCTCACACTTAGACGCGGAACCTTTGCAAAACAGATCGAAGGTGAACGGAAAAGCAGAGTACCAGCATGAGCAAATGTTACTCAATTTATCCCTCTCAGTGATGTCAACAGGCGACTCTGTCTTTGATGTACCCTCGATGGATGTTTTTATATGCCAGTTGCTTGTGTCATTGTAATTCGCACACTTGAGATCACCGAGAGCAGTGTAATCTGTGAGCCAGGGAAGTTTATCCTCTCGCTCATCCGGTGTGACGTAGACGCCGTAGAGGCGGTCGTTGAGTTTGAGCACGCCACCACGTCTTTTGGTGGCGTCAGTATCGCACTGAGTTGATTAGTAGCTGGACTGATGTTGTCATGGGAATGCACTGATATCTTACATTGCGTATGATATCCTTGTAAGTCAAGCGACAGTGGTCGACTTTGGTGTCGTTCGTAGCTCCTTCAAAAAAGTACCAAGTGGGTCGAGCTTGAATGAACAACGCAGGATCAGCGACCGCAAAGAATCCAACATGCGAGTCAGCGTTTGTTTTTGTAAGTTTATACGCCCTACTTGCGTTACGGAAATCCGCGGTATCGCGCACAGATGGTGGAATTGGGGTTGCTGGATCCCAAGAGTTGATGATGTCTTCACAGAACTGTTGGGCAAAGCCAACTGCCTCCTCTCCGTCGAATTCTTTGGCGTTAGGGTACTGGGCATGGCCTTCACCAAAGCAAGTACGGTCTTTCGTTGCATCCGTGTTGAGTAGTTGGTCTTTGTGGGCGTCTACAAAGGTACCGATCCATGAGGCCTCTCTGCCCCTTACGGACTCGTCCGGGAGTTCTCTGTAATACGGGGCGCTTAGTATATCGGCCTTTCGTTCTTCGTCAAGCTCAGTCCCAATATCGAATTCAGCTCTATCGGGTTGTAGTAGAGAAGGGTCGTAGTTCGGCTGGGAAAGTCCGCGCCAGTGGAACCAGCCTTTTACTTGGATTTGGGCAGATTCTTCGTTATTGAAAGGAACGACCATTTTGCCGTAAGATGGATCATTATCAATTCTAGGGAAGTAAGGAACCGTGCCGCCGATAGCCTGCGATACATAGTTGGATAGGGCAAAAAGAGCATAGTTGTCCGCTAGACATGATCAGCTTGACAGGCATTTGTGCAGGATATGATGAACATGCCGTTCAATGCTCCCCAGTCATTAGAGCTGTCGTGAACTCGAGCCAAAACCTTGGCACAAAGTACTCCGTAGCAAGCTGACCACGACTCCTTGACTCCGCCAGGAGAATCTTGCCATACATTAACCCAAAGGTCTGAGATGGGTCGCTTTAGTTCTTTCGATGTAGGAAGAAACTGGACCAGCATGCGCAGCAAGGTAGTAGCTGATCGATGTCAATGATCTAGCGGAAAGTGTACAATTGTTGAATTACTCGCCTCGATTGTCGTGATAATACCCTGAATTGTATCGAGCCGTAAGATTAGTGGGGGAATTGATACCCATCTGAACCCTGTGGTTCAGTGGAGGGAGCCCGAAGTATTCGGGACAGATTACAAGCCCCGGTTGTTGACCTTGCGTGCCGTCCCTCTTTCGTGTGTCAACTATTGTCTTCGCAATGCCCGGAAAGTTGGTGCGGTCGTCACACGGAGCTGAGCGGTCGAAGTTGCACCTCACCGAAATTGGCTCTGAAAGTTGCAGCACGCCTGGAAAAACACTCTTGATGACCGGGATGTGTTCGACTGAACTTTTACCAAAAAACAGCCAAAAGTTTGGGTTGTCCGTATAGGCTATTTGGCTTTTGACTGTGACGTTGGCCATATCCATAACATCTTTCAGATCGTTGTCAAGCATGTCTCGATGCTCAGCCTTGCATGAATCATCAAAGGAGATTATGGAATTGGCAGTGGATGGGAGCGCTGATACCGAGGGCTGAGGGCCTGTTTGTGCGAGAGTCTGGGAAGGTGATTGTGAATCTGCTTGAGAGGACGCTTGTAAGCTAGCCTGAGAAGCAGCGGAGACCACCTGAGACGCCACCGAGGCAGTCTGGGAAACTGCAGAGGCTACCTGCGAAGAACTTTGCGCGGCGCCATCCGCTATGAGAGAGAGGATCAAGAAGATCGTGAGGATTAAACCATTCGGTCTAAACACTGACGTGGCTAACGAACGGACTTTCTTGATGGCGTTGAACATGTTGCAGGACGAGCGGTAGGAGAGGAATAGCCGTAAAATGGCAGGGCACTAGATATAGTATGCAGGTATAGTAAAGATGTGAGATGATGTTGGCTGTGTGGTATTCGCGTGATGGTGTTTATTGAAGAGAGATTGTAGGAAGGATGGAGAGAACTGCGATGCGAGATCTTATACTCACCGATGACTGTTGCGTAGGACGTGGAAGTATGCTTTCTGTCATAGCAGAGTCGTTGTGACTAGTCTATAGGATTTGGTGACTGGACGAAGGCTCAAGTTCTGGTTTAGTGAGGGATGGGATGTTTCGCGGTTCGTGTCATTTTCCGGACCGCATATGACGGAATGTACTCCAGCGTCGTGTAAATAAAGACTCTTATACTCCATACATGTGCACACCCAGCATCTCATCTGGCCGCCTAGGCTACCCACTAATGCACCGCATGTTCGCCACAGCACCCATGGTAGCCCCTTGCTGGGTCCAAACATCTGCGCAAGTCTTCCCCGGTGCCTTACAGACCATAGCCGCACCCATGGGGTTGCTACCAAACCAACACGTACAGAGCCGCCCCGTACGTTCGCTATCGTTGATATCGATAAAGGGTGCGACCCGCCATGCACTCGTGGCATTGTAATCCGTGCATTTGGATTCTAAGGTCCGTGGTATGTCCCAGTGGGCTGATGGAGGCGTCATAGCGCCTACGGCGAAGATCTGCAAGTGCGTCAATAATGGTTCTTAAGTCTGACTCTCGACGATTCGTCTAGCATTATCGTTCGGTCAAATCCAACGAAAAAAAACGCACCATGTCGTTAATTTTGAGATAGCCACCATATTTGTCGTCACTGTCTCCTCCATCACACTAGGTTTGTTAGTATTGGACCCAACCATTAGTGGAGATTAGCAGCCCACATGTGTAATGAGGTCGTTGTATGTTGCTATACAATGCGAAGCTTTCTCGTCGGATTGTATACCTTCGAAATATACAGATAAGTTCTTCCCTGTCATGAAGCTATCAGGGCCTGGGGAGACATAGTAGGACAGATCCTTTGTACCATCCGGGAGTGGTGTATACAACTCGACTTCCTTATCGATTTGGAAGATGCGCGGATGTAGAGGCTTGCCAGCGAGCATGTAGTCGTTGACTTTGTTCTTGCAAAAGTTGTCCAATTCACTCTGAAACTTCGTCAAATGTAAAGGCTATGGCGTCCGGGAACGCGGCTTTATCTTCGCGATAACATGTGTATTCTTTTGATGCACCCAGGTTGGACATGCCGTTCTGTTTTGCTTCGTTGAACACTTTCAGGAACTTGTCACGAAGTGCTTTAAAACCGGATGTGGTGGCGCCAAAGGACCAGGGCGCATTCTCTAGATCAGCCTGAGATTCTTTTGGAAGTTGATCCTTGAAGTCCACAATGTCTGTCTTCTGGTATCGCTCGACGTCGTAATACCACTGGGAATCACTCTCTGCGCTAAATTCCGGAGTCGCCTGGAAGGTCTGGATATCTCTCAAAAGAAGAGGCCGAATGATGGGATTTGGACCATCTTCGAGACGAGGAAGCCATGGAAAGTTGGATGCTCCAAGACTGTTAGATTCCCCAAGTTGATGAGAAACGTACTTCTGCAACGCAAAAAGAGCATAGTTATCGGCTATACCCGTCAGCATCGGGTAAGAGTTCTTCTTGTTGTCAAATGCATACCATTAAGAATGCTCCATGTTTCACTGTCGGCCAACTGAGCTAGGAGCTTAGTGCAGTATACACCATAGCAAGCTGTCCATTTGCTCGCTCCACCCGCATATCGCATGTGCACCCACAGGTTGGAGATATGCCGGTTCCAGCCCTCTCGTTGTGGGAGATAGTAGAGCAAAGCTCGCAAGAGTGCGGAAGCTATTAGTAGATTAGTATAGGGTGAATGTGGATATGTTCGAGATGGCATTCCCATACCTTGGTTCTCATGATAAGAGCCCATATTGAACCGGCGCGTCCAGTCGACTGAATCGCTCAGACCCATCTGTACTGCCTCATTCAGAGGAGGGAATCGGAAGTACTCCTAACAAAAGTAGAGATTAGGTTTGAGGTCCACCCGGGGGCCTTCGCTGCCTATGCCGCCATACACGTGTTTACTTTGACATGCCGCTGTCTCGTTCTTGATGTCGCAAACCGCATTGATCTTCCAAGCAGCACTCAAGGTTGCGCTTGAATAGTCCTTAAACACGCTCTCGACCGTGCTAGCATTTGGAATAGCGCTAGTACCAAGATACTCGACGAAGGGTAGGTCTTGTTCAAGATTGGCATTTGACCAATCTAGCTTTCCATAAAAGGCCAACGTGCCAGTCCCGACAAAGGCGGTTTTGATGATGTTCTTTTGATCGGGGTCACAAGTATTGCCGATCACGAAATTCTTGTCCGCGTCGACGTTGGGGACTACAATGGGCGCCGCGGAGGCAGCTTGTGAATTTGTCGGAGTAGTGCTTGGCGACGCGGCCTGAGAGATAGCTTGAGTGGTCTGAGAGGCGACATGAGAAGGCTGGGAAGTAGCCTGAGAGGTCTGAGATGTTACTAGTGAAGTCTGAGAGGCAGCCTGCGAAGCCTGAGAGGAGGCCTGCACAGAAGCCCGTGATGCGCTTGGTGAGGTGTCGGTACCAGCCTCAGCCGAGCTTTGAGCAGCAGTCCCGGCGATTAGAGAAAGGATCAAGAAGAGCGTGAAGACTACGCTGTTCAGTGGGATGATAGCCATGCTGGAGCTGCGAACGTCCTTGCGGGCGTGAAAGATCGAAGACTGCGTGGCCGACAATAGTAAACGTAGCTTGGTAGTGTGCGATAGGCCGTGTAGATGTGCGAACGTGGATGGCGCGTTGTTGGGTAGTCAATCGATGTGTAGTAGTTCATATGAGAGAGATTGTAGGAAGAAAAGAAGGAGAATGCATTGCAAGACCTTGTACTCAGCGATGACTATTGCGAAAGACGTGGTAGGATAATTTTGGTCATATACCGGAGTCATTATGACTAGATTCCATCAGGCGAATGACTGTTTGTTGCTTGGGCCGTAGTTCATATATCTCATCCGTTCCAAGATGCGTAGATGTTCCGAAGACGGGCGTGTTCCTTTGGACCCGTAAAGATCGACTCAACGGCTCGCTCGCAAAGTGCTCTGATATCCTTTCGGTCTAAATGAAAGTGCTGTGCCGCAAGGTAGTACTCTTGCGAGAGTGGACTGCAAAAGACACCTACATCATCCGTCTGCCGGGTGTTAGTCATCACGAGAAACACACAGTCTCCAGAGCTGAACGTACGCTCAGAGCGACTGGAACACTGCTATGTCGCCACACTCCAAAGTGGTGGTCCGAGTAAGTGCCCGTGATCATCTTAGCATGCACATTACAGCTGAGGCACAGCTCAACGCCGATTCCGTGCTGCTCGATGGTCTTTTTGAACTCATCTTTGACATGTATGACGTGACCCAGTCTGTCAGGTTGCCATGACAAGAGTCTTTGCAACTCCAAATCCGAGGCAGAATTTTCGCTCTCGGCAAAGTGCAGGGTGATCTTCAGTCCGGCAGCCTTTGCCCGAGCGAAGCTGTCGCCGAATATGCGAACATCACCTTTGGCTGGGTCGCCGCATAGGTCGACACCAACAACGCCGGCGGACTGATACTTGATGGCGAGATCGACGACTTCTTCCGCGTCTGCGATGTTGTTGCGACGGTCGATTGACAGTATGAGGAAAGCTCGCATGGTATTGTTAGCATCGTCGTTGTGGGCATTGAGTATGTCCAAAACGGTCTTCACGTAATCATCCCTGGTTACGCCCTCTCCAAGGATCGCTCTTGGGGTTGTTCGAAGCTCAACGTATACAACCCCATCATCCTGGAAGTCTTGCAACACAGCCCTGGTGGAGTACCTAGATTGATCAACCGCAGCTCACTATACACGTCCGTGTCGACAGACATACTGGATGCTCGGCAGATCACTGCAAAGGCGATAGATGTATGACGAAAAGAGCGGGAAGAACCTAATCTAGCTGTCAGACGTCTGCTAGTATTTTTCGCGTGGTGAGCCAGTTGTTTGGGACGACCGAGCGGGTAGCGATCATTTGTCAGGAGAACATTGGCCGCGAAATCGCTTGCGCGATCGTCTTGGCCCATGTATCCCCAACGGCACGCCGGTGTTACAGCGAGAATTCCGAACGACGAGCAAATCGAGCTAGGCCTACGTTTTGATATCGTAGTCGACCTTGCCCGCGGGTATGGCGACCAAGGGGTCCTCGAGGTCGAAGTCAGGCTGCCGTGCTTTCTTTGTCTCCCATATGGCGTGCAGGCAGTCGCGACTGATGCTGCCGGTTAAGTGGGCATGAAGCTGAGTCGCGTCATTAGCAGCAGCGAACGGAAGTCTGAGCGTCCTTGGCGCGATGACTAGGGACCGAGGAGGCTGGAGCAGTACCTCAATCTTGGGCAAGCCCTTGGTGAAGGCAGCGTCGACGGGCAGGTCGTGTGCAGTCGCGATGGGAAGTGCAGCCATGCTGGGGAACACGGCGGTATTGGTGGCGTGGGGATGGTTCTCGAAGCGATAATGGAAAGGTGAACAGACTTCAGGAGGAGGCCTGGGGGGTATAGCGGCGGACGCGGGTCATAGTGCCAGCCGAGGCTGCTCGCTGCTCATTCGTCCGTCGCCTAAAGGAGGAGGTGCGCTGCAGGAGATTGCAGCGCGCGCCTTCTTCGTCAAGGTCTGGACAGCAGCAGAGCATAGCAACACCACGTTGGCGCCTCCAGCTGTGCAAACACCCGACCCGACAGCACGCAGGGCTCCTTCACGTTACCGCCCCTTCACATCGCTCACGTGTCACGACAGGTGTTTGCAGTGGGCATCTTCGCGACAGACTGGCGGAGCAGCGCCCTTTGATCTCCAGCGCTCGTTGCTCGGCTAGGCCAAGCTAAGCTCACCCCGGGCCGCTCCTGTACCTCACTCATCTCCAAGCACTCACCCTTCCATCCTCACGCCCCCACGACCGTTTGCCAGCCGCCGCTCCCTCTGCGCAAGCAATTGATTCTGCTCTGCGCGCGTCTAGCCATTGCTGCCGCCTGTCCATCGCTCCTGCCGCCGCTCTCTCTCTCTCGCTTCCGGCTGCCGCGCTCCCTAGGAGGCCCCTGGATTCGCCTGCCTCGCCGTTTCGCGCCGCTCGCGACAACACCCTCACCACCAGCACACCACTAATATATGGCCGATATGAATCAAGAAACGATCCAGCAGAAGATTCAGCTCGCCCGCCGCGACGCTGAGGCGCTCAAGGACAGGATAAAGCGCAAGAAGGATGAGCTCGCTGACACGACCCGTATGTTCTTTTTCCAGCCGGCGTGCTCACCGCATCGGAACCTCGTAGACGGCTAACACAAGAGCGCAGTTCGCGATGTCGCCAGAGACCGTGTCGAGGCTCTGCCGCGCCTCACCATGAAGACGAAGCGCACCCTCAAGGGCCATCTGGCTAAAATCTACGCCATGCACTGGTCCACCGACCGCAGACATCTCGTCTCCGCCTCGCAGGACGGAAAGCTCATCATCTGGGACGCTTACACGACCAACAAGGTCCATGCCATTCCTCTGCGATCGTCCTGGGTCATGACGTGCGCCTACTCCCCGTCGGGCAACTACGTCGCCTGTGGTGGCCTCGATAACATCTGCTCCATCTACAACCTGTCGGCGCGGGAAGGCCCAACACGCGTGGCACGCGAGTTGTCTGGCCACTCGGGTTACCTCAGTTGCTGCAGATTTATTTCCGACAAGCGCATCCTTACATCATCCGGTGACATGACGTGTGTGTTGTGGGATCTGGAGACTGGCTCCAAGGTACATGAGTTCGCCGACCATCTCGGTGATGTAATGAGCTTGAGCATCAACCCGCTCGACCACAATCAATTTGTCTCCGGTGCTTGCGACGCCTTCGCGAAGCTCTGGGACATCAGACAGCAGAAGTGCGTGCAGACCTTTGCCGCGCACGACTCTGACATCAACGCCATCCAATTCTTCCCCAACGGAAATGCCTTCGGTACCGGTTCCGACGATGCCTCCTGCCGTCTGTTCGACATCCGCGCCGACCGCGAGCTCGCATCATACCAGGTACGCCCGCTGACATATCTGGCACTCTTGGCATTTGGATTACTAATGTCTGCCATAGATTCCTGAGCCCGTCTGCGGTATCACATCCGTAGCCTTCTCCGTCTCTGGAAGACTGCTATTTGCTGGTTACGACGACTTCGAATGCAAGGTAAGCAGTCAGCGCAGCCCCTACAGGTTCCACAGTCTAATAATATCCAGGTTTGGGACGTACTTCGCGGCGAACGCGTAGGCACATTGCAAGGACACGACAACCGCGTCAGCTGTCTCGGCGTTAGCAACGACGCGCTCAGTCTATGCACTGGTTCATGGGACTCAATGGTAGGTTCTCTCGTGCTCCCGTCTGCATCACACAACTGACTTGGCATAGCTGCGCATTTGGGCATAAGTGCCGTCAGCCTCCCCAACTTCCACGACGCCATGTAACGACGCCAATCCGAACGTGTGCGCCTTACCGTAATATTGGCAAACTACAACCTACGACAGCGATCTCCGCAACTCCTGGCATACCATACCCCTGCTGCATCTTATCAACCAGGAGACTGAGCGCTGCCATACTCTAAGAATATAATACTCGCACCTGTTGGAATCGTCGATGTGGCTACGGTGCCAACTGATGTCCCGGCGCCCGGAATCTTTTTGTGCTCAAACTACTTTTTCTTTTCATACCACTGTTCTATTCCTTTCTCGACGGTGCGAGCATACTGCTCACACTCGTCTTCATGTCCGGGCCGGCTGTTCTACGTACATGAGTAGCACCTATCTACATCAACCTTCGACATAGTCTTCTCCTTGCGTTCTGCCTGATCATTAAAAGCGACCGATTGTACTTGCACTTGCGTGGGAAGAGATGGGGCTGTGC